ACATTAAGTACACCTGTACTTAAGGATAGAATAAACGACTCTTTCCCCCCCCCAAAAGGGTATAAAATTGCTTTAAAATGGACCTGAATTAATTAAGCGATAAATCTGTCTCTAATGAAGTTCCAGGAAATAAATTTAAACAAAATGCAGCCAAAAAAAAAAAAAAAAAAAAAAAAAAAAAAAAAAAAGCGCGTATAATTTAATATTTCGTACAAGAAAGCCATGTGGTGTCCGCGTCATATTTTTTATATTATTATTTGGGAAAAGGTAAAACATATTGCATAATGAATGTAACCATTATGGTGTTATTGGTACTTTGTTACTCTGCATGAAGAGTGATATTTACCCTTCATGTCAGTCATTCATGCAATGTTTGAAAATAACCACGAGGCTATTCAAAATTATAGGATAATACAAATATTAATGTGACTAAAAATGTCTTCTTTAACTTGGACCTTGTGAAACAAAAGATCAGTCTTTGGGTTAATGAAGTGATATGAAAAGAGTGCTTGAAACTCACTTCAGTTTTCATCTTTACAGAAACGGCCTGCAGAAGTCTGTTTCTGCAGAAACAGACTAATTTCAATTTAATTTCACTCAAAGTAAAACAACTTAGGTTTCACTTTTCGAAGGTAATTAAACTGCAATTTGAGACTGAAATTACTTGAGTATCGGTTCTTTCGTTACGAAGACTTCAAGCAGTCACTTGATTCACGAGGAAATTTCTATTTACTAATGCTAAAGAATCGATATTATTGTTTAATTTATCATTTTCCACTGACAAATATGGATGGAAATTTAACGATTATCTTCATTCCTTTATGTGTTAAAGTCTTTGCGTTCCATATTCATAGATAAAACATATTGAATTATCAGTCTCTGCCATTGAAGAAGTTTACTGTAATAGTAGTTAAACAAGCTCCATAGGTGATGAAGCGACTTTAGTTTTGTTGGACTTAAAAATTCGCATTTTCTAGTTCGTTCTTGCTCGTGTTTGTCGTTTAAAGCATCACATATCTGTACATGGCATTAATTTTCATTTATGATTTTACCATTTAAGGTTTTTTCAGTTCCTTAATTTGTGAACACTTTATCATTGACTTATTACTTTCAAGATATTTTTATTTGGATTTACTTTATTTTAAAGCATGGTTTCAAGCCATGAAATTTTCATTACATCTGCATAACGGTTCCCGGTTATAAAGGTTCGAGTCCTTTTTAGATATAGATTCTATAGAGTTTCTATAGAGATTCTTTAGAGAAATATATAGATTTGCTCAACGATGTTTAAACATTTGTCCAGAATTTATAAATGATAGAATCTTTTATAGTGTATCTAAAAACAAACAAAAGGATTTTAATGAAAATATCAGGTTCAGTTTACAGAAAATTAGACTATAAATCTAAATTTTAAACAAGTTTCTTTGCTTTAGTTTTCTATTAAAGATCACATAAAATTTTAGAGAATTTCAAAGCATTGTAAAATAAGCAAACTTTTCTTTTGGGATAAAAATTAAGGCACTGAATTTTCACTTTTAAGTAGAATTTTTAAGTTTAAATTTTGAAATGATTCATTCGAAGCTTGCTCCACTTGTTTCTGTAAGTGTTAAAAACCTTTTCCCTCTTTCATCTTGCTCTTATATTAAGTAATATGTGGCTGCCCATTAGGTGCCTCCATAATAACATTTAAAACTTAGTGTTACTTTAAATTTTATTTACATGCAATTCACGCTTTTAAACATTCTGAAAGTTTTCTGCTTACACCATTTAATATAAAAAAAGAAATATAGAATAGAACGGGGAGTTTTGAAAGTTGAAATTCTTTTTGAATTGGGTTTTTAATTTTATTCAACAGTAAAGACTTAGTTTTATAAATTAGAAACAGCTGATTCATTTTTATGGCAGAAGATAAATCAAAATATATTGTGCAATTTTTTACATATTTTATATTGTTAACGATACATTTCCCTCTGAGAGACATTGCGATGTGTAGTTTTCAGACTCGCATGCTAATATTTTATTTATTTATTTATTATTATTTTAAGTTAAAGGCGAAAAAAATCAATCGCAAATAAAAAGATCGGAAATTCGAGAACTCGTTGTTGCAATCGACATTGTGTGATAGTTTGCTTATTTTAAGGATAATACACCTGTCTTTCACCTTATGTGGAAGCAATATATTTATTGGGCTAAAAAATGTCTGTCACACTTTTCGTAACGAAATACAATAATAGAAGGATGAATATCACTCATTCTCCCTAAAACCACTCACAGTTTCTGGTCTCAGACACTGTGATGCTGGATATTTTCTCTGGCTAAAACTTCCCTGCGGCAAGTAATATCCGTATCCTTTTACCCTAGAGCGGCCATCATCTCACTAGAGGGTATTGTGCCTGCCAAATATGATGAATGGCTGCACCTCCTTTTTTATTATAACCCTTTTTTTTCTGTCTTCCTGGTTCGTTTTTAAGACGGCAAAAAGCAGGAGGGGAAAAATTATCATCTCACCCACCCCCTGGAGGTTCTTCATAAAACTAACCATGCGTTAAATTTCCCTTTTTCACTCGGCAATCGATAAAATTCTTTTGACGAGGGGGGATAAATGACTTTGTTTTTGGGGTGGAAAGAGGGATGTCACGAGCATCTGAAGGGAAAGAGAATTGCTATTTTGGTCTAAGAACATTTTACATTTTTTTTCTCTTTAATTCCTTCAATCTGTTCTAGAAAACATTAACTGATCGCTTATGAAGTATTACGATATTATAGATAAAAATGATATTAGCTTTTTTTTATCCAGCAAACAGTATTGCCATCAGAAACATCCATAGCGGAGACTTTCAAAATATTTTGGAGTATTAGGTTGCCGTTATGTTAAGTTACGTCACGTGTATCATCTATGCGATTTCGCCAGTGATGCCATTGCGTGAAGAAAAAATCCTAATAAATCTACAATTAAAAGCTATGTTTGTTTATTAATGCATTTTGTTTAATTTAGAAATTTTGGAGTTTCTGAATTTTGAATCTTAATTTGTTATTTTTTTGTAAATACTTATACATGTATAATATTTTAGATGGTTTAATTATGAGCCGACTGATATCTGAATTGCAAAGCTATTTCAAGTAGAAATAAACATATGCTCAGAAAACGTTGGTACTGAGTTGTAGCGACACGTTTGGCTCCAGACTGACGATATTTGGCTATCTCTTGCATATTGTTTGATTTTCTGGTGGTTTTAAGAAAACGCATTTTCAAAACTTCAGGAGCAATTTTCCTTATATGCTTACCCTTCCTCTTAAGCAACCGCACAAATAGACTGTAAGCGGACATCAGTTAGCTAGTTCAAATATCTGCGTCTGTTATACTAAACAGCATTTTGCTTGGACATTCCTGTCTTTGCCGTGTGAGTAGTTTTGATGATTTGCTATATTCCATCTTATTAAGGAGAATTCTGTTTATTCTGCCTTTTTAGCTCCTGGTTTTTATAGCAATATCGCTTGCTGTGGAAGCTCTGATTTGTTCCGTTATAATTCCTATTCATATGGCTATTTTTATACGCGAGGTACTTTATTTAAATTAATGAAAGTTACTTTATCATCATATATTATAAACTCAATATCTAGAATAATTTTTTCAGCAGCTGAACTATTTTCAATCAAAGTGAGGAACGTTTCCAGTCAAAATGGTCGATAAAATAAGCGTCCCCTTGTTTTTTATAATTGGTAGCCAATTAAGAATCGCCGATGTTGTAATTTTAGGCAGAGATTTAAGTTAGAATTTAAATGAAGCACACTGATGTCTACCATGGCGGACAGTTGCTGGTGACCTGCTGACTGATGATCCTTAGACGTCAATTAGTAAGAAATTGATGTGGGCAGGTGCTTGATATTAAACTTGATAAACTGCTAAAATTAAATGAAACCAAAAAACACACTTGATTGCAACGGGCGGACTCTGGTTACCATAAAGGTTATTGGAAACCGTTGATATTAGAGTTTTCAATCTCCTGTATAGGACACTGCTATGGCAGTACTTGCCAAAGCAAGTGCATGATTTGTAATTCGAAGGGTAGCGTAATGCAACTATAACGTAACGCAATGTAATATTTCAGAAATTTTGAAAAGAATACGAAAAGTCAAAATTCTATTAATTGATAAAATATTAATAGAATTTTGACTTTGACTGAGTATAATGTGTATGGCTTATGTTAATTAATCCACTTTCTTATGATTTAAATCTGTATTGTCACTTTTCCTTTAATTGGTTCTCAGCTCTCACCAGGATGCAAATGAGTAGGCGGTTCTTAAAAGTTTTAGAGATGGAGAATTTGGCAGCGACGCCCGCAGTTCGCACTTTCTCTCACCGAAATCTGCTAAGTGAGTATTTTGGCATTAGCCATTTTGCTAACCGAAGTTAAATCCCGCAGAGTTTGAGGTAATGTTTTATTATGCCAGCTATTGTAGTCTCTAGCTACGAATACACTTCAATTTGTAACTTTAATTTTCTGTTATTTAATGTCCGAAAAATTGATTGGTATGAACAAATGGATATTTTGATAAGTTTCAAATTAAACGATTATTTTATAACCTTATTAGGACTTTGTTATACTTCTGCAGCCGGAGCGATAACTTTCTTGTCGGTCTACATTAAATTTTAAGGAGTTTAAGTTAGATTTACTCAACTTAGTACTCTAAAAATGTAGTTATCATTTAAATTTATCTCGTTCAGCTGTATAACTAACTATATTCTGGACAGCATGGCTGCAAAAGTAAATGTATATCATAACAGAAAGCAAGTATAATAAATCTATATATCCAGAAATATGCGTTTAGTTTCGTAACTATGCACTGAACTAAGAATCCAGTTCGTTGGTCTTGTATGTATTCACAGTCTTCCTGCGTACAAAACAGAGATAATTCTGGGAAAAACTTGGGAATCCATTTCCAAGCCGGACTACTGACCGGAAAAGTGTATAAATAGGTAAATAAAAGACACATGAGAATTTAGAAACTGTAAAAAACCTTTATTTTGGACATAACACTCCAAATAATTTTTATATTTATATGTAGGAAGTTCACTTCGAATATTAAAACATTGTTTTGTGAACAGCCTTCATAAAACTGTAACTTTAACTGCTTCTTCTAGAGAGGGAGATTCAAAATTGCATTCCAAAACTTCTATTTCTCCTTCTGCATTGGCGAGGTGGAAGCTGTCCCTCTTTCGCAGGAGGCTGAAAATACGATAAAATTACATTAAATTACCCACGGGCGAAGGAAATATATATTTCGATTTATAATAAAATTATAAAAAATATATTCTCAATTAATCGTATTATATATGATTTGAATAAGTCAATGTAACAGCTAAGAGGATTTAAACCAACGATTCTACATTAAATGAGATACTATTTCGTTAAAACATCTTTCGATTAATGAAAAAAACAATGTTCCAGAAGTTCACAAAATTTTCTATCATTTGTATGCACAGAGTGGAGTTTGCCCTAACTACAAATTTTAAATAACAACAAAAAGACTGTGAGCGTTTGTAGTAATTATATGTAATTGGGAAATAACAGTATGCACCAAGGTATTTTGGTGTTATATGTATTGCGAATAATACTGGAAACAAGGAATCATGAAAATAGCTTTTACATGTTCTTCTTATGATTGGAATGCATATTGTTCGAAGCAATGCTGAGTGGTTTCCATGCATCTCAAAATATCCTGTGGTATAGCTATAGCGTGTACTATGTACTTCGTGGACGATGAGAGTGTTGAGTTCGTCAGTAATTCGCAAACGATAGGTAAAGATTTTCTTTTTCAAGCAGCTCAGAGGAAATGGAACAGAGCTTTCAAATCTGAAAGAGAGATGGTTAAGTCATATTCCCAACGCAAAATGAAATAATTTGGAAATATTTGTAGAAAGACAGCCTTTCTTTTGTTTGCCGTTGCGCCGTCTGTTGGAATCACATTGAATCCATCAACTATCTTACCCACAGTTGTAACGATATTCACCACAGCAATGCTCATCGAGGCAAATCCTATTTGAATGAAGTCTTTCACCACTGAAATGCACAACTACTCCGGCTAACGATCTATGACATATTAATTGCTTGACTAATGTAAATGCTTCACACATGAACACATTCATTCTGACAAGGTTTCCAGTTAAACTTGTGATTAGAATATATGCGTCACCTTGTATTAGTAATTATTTAGGGGAGTCAAATGAAAACCATAATTATTTTTTTAAATATTATTTATTTGTCACACAGGGTACAGAAGTAAATCATTTTTCAACATAGTCCCCTCCTCGTTCAATGCAAGTCCGCCAGCGTTTCGGAAGAGCCTGAATACCTGCAGAAAAAAAGTCTTTTGGGCGACGGCGCAACCACTCGTGCACCGCGTTGCGTACCTCTTCATCGGAGTGGAACTTCCTGCCGCCCATTGCTTCTTTGAGCGGACCAAACAGATGGAAATTGCTCGGTGCGAGGTCTGGCGAATAAGGAGGATGTGGAAGGCATTCAAAATTCAGCTCTGTGATGGTCGCAACCATTGCACGCGCCGTATGGGGCCGTGCATTGTCGTGTTGCAGCAGCACACCGGCTGACAGCAATCCACGTCGTTTCGTTTTGATGTCAGGCCGGAGATGATTTTTTAGGAGGTCCGAGTACGTAGCACTCGTCACAGAGGTTCGTCGTGGCGTGTAGTTCCAAGATGATGCCCTTTTCGTCCCAAAAGAGGGTCAGCATAACCTTCCCTGCAGACGGCTGTGTCCGAAACTTTTTGGGTTTCGGTGATGAGGAGTGGCGCCATTCTTTGCTCGCTCGTTTTGTTTCAGGCTGATGGTAATGCACCCATGTTTCGTCACCAGTGACGATTCGTGACAGGAAGGCATTATCGTCACGTTCAGCACGCCGCAAAAGGTCTTCGCACGCATCAACACGTCGCTGTTTCAGTTCAGGCGTCAGTTGTCGGGGCACCCATCTTGCAGACACCTTATGAAACTGGAGAACATCATGCACAATATGATGTGCCGATCCATGACTCATGTGTACACATGTTGCAATTTCGTCTATTGTCACACAGCAGTTTTCCAAAACGATGGCTTCAACGGCTGAATGGTCTCTGGAGTCACTACGCGCCGAGCCTGGCCGGGGCGTGGAGCATCGGCCACGGACGTAACACCATTTGCAAATTTCCGGCACCATTCATAGATTTGTGGCTGTGACAAACACGCATCTCCATACTGAACCTTCATTCGCCTAAAAATGTCAATAGGTTTCACACCTTCACTTCGCAAAAACCGAATCACAGAACGCTGCTCCTCGCTGGTGCATGTGGCTAGTGGGGCTGCCATTTGGAACAGTTGTTGCCGGTTTTTGTGCATCTGCCAGCTGCTGCCACCTAGGAGACATCCGGCATACTGTCGCAAACAGGCATGCCAACTTACAGCTCACTGGCGCCATATGCGGATTTTTATTTCTACTTTTATGGTTTTCAGTTGACTCCCCTACGTACTCGTATATATAAACCCTATTAGAAGACAGTTCGGTAAATTTATAACTTAGAATTAAATTGACGCACATCGGTACTTCTGAGAGCTGTTGGAAACCGGTGACCTACAAACTGAGGGTCGCTTGGAGGTTAATTCATAGGTTCCGAAGTAGGGCAGTGGAATAAATTTAAACACATAACTACTATGAAATCGAGGCACAAAGCTTTTAATTAACAGTCTCCTTCGGTATCCATTATGGTCACCAATGACGTATAGATTGAAGGTCCCTTAGTGTCACTCTATAGCTCGCCAGTATGGGACAGTGGAGTAAATTTGAGTTATTTTTAAAAATAAAATTTAATAGTTTAATTGTTTTACGTTGCTAATTTCCATTGAAGTTGTTGGTCTCTGGTGACCTGCAAGTTAATGACCAATGACGTTTAGTCACCGGTGGTCAGTTAAATGATGTAGGGCGGCTCAGTTAATTTAGCTTAAATCAATAAAATCATATGAAACCGAAGGATACCATTGACTAAAATCGAGCTATTCTGGTTACCATCAATCTTATGGTTATCATTGACGTCAGTGACCCTGGATTTTGGTGACTCACTGGTTTTCAATCACCAGTATAGAGTACCACAGTGCTGTTGCTGTGGCAAAGATAAAGTAAAGTAACATATTAAACACTCCAAAAAGTTTAGAAAGACATTTCTAACATGCTTAAATTACGAAGATAAATATAAAGTGACCGCTATGAGTAACGTATTAGCTTAAGAAAAACAGGCAAAACGTTTTTGTTCAGAAGAAGGCAATGTATAATTTCAGGAAACTCACTTATTCATTAAAATAACAATATAAAAGCTAAAATTTGTTTTTAACTGTAAAAAATTATAAATTGTATGTATTGCAAGTTAAATACATTATTTACATTCTGAAATAAATGCATTTTAAGTCACTTCGGTCAGATTTATTATTAAATAAAATGCACTTTTAAATTGCACAGTTTTACTTAAATGAGATAGAAAATAAAAATGAGTTTTTAGCTACATCATGTTTGTAGCATATGCAGCTAAAATAAAATCTCTAAGGTTTATATGAGTATTATAAACATATAAATGGTGTCATGACATTAACAAAAATTCCTAAAGCATAGAAGCGATCATATAGACATGTCGTATGCAAACGTAATTACTTAGCATTCGCTTAAATTTTTCTTTGGTAATTTTGTATTAAATTCAGCCATTATTAGCAGCTGCTAACAGTCATAGTGTCCATAGTCATGCAGACTATCATACATAGTAACTAGTGACATTATGACTATGTTAAAAGCTACAATATCATTTAAAGCTTTAAATAATTTTCACTAGTTGAGGCTTCTTTGACCGAACTGCACATATGAGAAAAGTAGACTTTGAGAAAAAATTGAACAAGTATAGAATATTTGGGAACACTAGAGAACTATTTCGATGGAGATAGCAGTTGCCAAATTCTCACCTAAGTTTGTCCTTTTTGACTTAGGATGCATCTCTAAAGGAATCTTTCAAAATTATTTGGACCGTTACATTAGATTAAGCTCTCATGCATTTATAATTCAAAGAACCCGTCAACAAATGACATGGCTAAGAACATAAGATCCTTAAAATCTCTTCTAAAATGTTTGGTAAATATATTCTGGTTCCAGAACTGTGGAATTGAGCTGATACAAGATCTTTAATGAATCTTTCAAATTACAAACAACAACCGGTTGACAATTGCTTAACAAACCGAATGATTTGAGTTTACAAACAAAGTAGTTAATTAACAATTACAGTTTAAAGCATACTCATTCATTGTAATGTTGAAAATTAACATAGAGCCTTAAATTATAAAAAAGAAATTCTATCTTACTTCCTGACCACAATCACGCGAAGCTTTCAGGAGGATCAAACATATAAACAGATTAGAAAAACAGAGCTCTGGCCTTTCGCTTTCTCCACAAGCTTCAGAAATAATATATATATATAAACAGAAATAATATATATATATTCAGAAATAATATATAAATATAAACATATAAATTTGTTTTAAGAGCCCGCACCTTTTACAGCTCTTTACCACTGTCGGAACATCAGAAAACACAAATACATTATCAATGTGCTACCCTGGTGATGCACATCAGTTTTAAACCAATACATGCACGCAAAATGCAATCAGAAACAGTTTGAAAAATATTTAAATATTTAGTATAAAGGAAGACCTTCCATAATTATACTGTACAGATCTTCATTAATTTGACTCATTGACACGAAGCAGATCTTCAGGGGCAATTGTTTACGAAACGTCGTAAAATTTTGTGCGTTCATAAGTAAAACAAATCGCTAAATGCAGTTGCATTCGCAAAGCTGGTTGTAAAAAGCCTTTAAAACTAATTAGGGAAGAAACACGTTCCTTAGAAAAGTTTCTTATTCCGTTTCGTGTCCGTAGGTCTGAAAACGCCATTGCGAAATGACACTAGCTATCTTTAATTGTAATTTCCACTAGGGGATAGGAACCAAAATATTTGTATATGATGATATTCTAATTCCCATCGAATTAAGAAATTAAGTGATTTAAGGCAAAGTTCGAATTCCACATGTTTGGTGCTCATTTTAGTCGTATGGAGAGAAAAGCTACTATATGTTAGAGAAAACCGTAACTTTGAAGGCTTATTTTAAAACAGTTTTTATATCTCAAATTGTAGTTTCTCCGCAACAT